GTGTTCCAGGCAACCAACGTCATGTTTATTTGTCCTCCTGAACACTTCTGATGCTTCCACATGTCCACCAGGCTGCTTGTGACGAATGCATCGGCTTTGTATTCACAATTTGCGAGGTAGACCAACCTATCCTGTTCTTCGTCCCATCCTGTTGAACAACCTGTGTTGCAGTGTAGACTTCGACCATACTTTCACAATTGCACTTTCTTGAATGATGCTCTTGACTCTGGAAAAACTTATCTGGCCGCTATGCCCTGCACTGCTTCTTCTCATCGAAGTTCAGCTTTGAGCGCCTGCAAGAACAGAGAGCAAAAGTAGTACGTTACCTTTTCTCAAACCTTCCGTCTCAAGCAACTTCTCTGGCCTTTGGAGGTGCACTAACGTCTGCTCCCCCGTCACTCTAGAGGATAGCTCAGTCAAATCGAAACTTGGTAGGTTCTTGCTCTATTTTCCAGTCCATGTTCCGAGCCACCTGTGCAATAACTTCCAAGTCTGGTGACTTCCACCAGTTGACCCTTGTATGTGATCTTCACTGTCCGTGAGCAAGATCCTGCTGTCTTCTTGCTCTGCAACTTCATCTCCTTGAAGATTGTTTCTACACAATCTTCCATGTGACAACGCATGCACTGTGCTGACTTACGCGTCACTGCCGGTGTTGGCAGGACACTTTGAGGAGAATCCTAGAGTGCCATTGCTGTGCGAACCACGAGTGTGAGCTTCCAGCTGTTTCTTTTCAGTGGGAGGATCCTCCACCACAACTTCGATCTGCCACCCGGGATCCTGAAAGATCACATTACTGCGCTGCTTCCTTCGAGATAACATCCATCGCACGAGGCAAAAGCACGCGAGCAGCACCAAGATCGCAACCAAAACCCAGAGAAGAAGCTGGAGCAGCGACCACGGCGTCCTCCGAACCACTGTAACTACTGCTGCGGGTGTTGGTGTGGCCACTGCTGCGTCGTGGCCGTCGCGGCGATTGGTGGTGGTGGTGGTGGTGGTGGTGGTGGTTGTGGCGTCCTCCATGGTGGTGACCATGGTGGTGACCATGGTGATGGTGTTGAACAACCAGAGGAGCTCCATCACCGTGATGATGATGGTACACTGCTGCTGCTGGAGCTGGATGGTGGTGGCGAGCATGATCGAGGATAGCAGGCGCTGGAGCTAGATGAGCAGGGTGGCCGTGAGCAGGGTGAACGAAAGCAGCTGGCGCTGGGGCTCGATCTGGAGCGTCACCTTGAAGAACTGGAGCTAAAGCTGGCGCTGGCTCGTGGCCTTGGTGTCCATGGTGGTGTGCTGCATGTGCTGGAGCTAGAGCTGGGTGATGGCCGCCCGCTTGAGCTCGGCGGGCAAGCATTGGGGCGGCGTGAGCGCGAGAGACCATAGCTTACCTGACAAGAGCTTCGACAATAGAAAAATCCAAGTGAGAAAGATTATAACCTAACCCTTGACTTACAAAAATAAAGAGGTACTTTTGGCTTTGTGAAAAATAAAAACGAGTATACTCTGAGAGCTGGTGACGCTATGGATTGTCAGCAAGGGTGCCATCGGGCTTGAGCATGCCAAAGAGCTCAAACCTAGATGTGAACAGCGATTTAATCTCACAATCACAAAATGCTCTAGGTATTTCAAAAAGAGAAAACAACTTTGGCAACTCCTTTCCAAGCTCACAGTGAACGAAATTTTTTTACTCGCTTTTTCAAACTTCTGGAAACTTGGCACTCATTGAATGTGAGTCATGGAGCTCATAGAGACGCTCAGCCAGCAGCGTGCACAAACTACTTCCTTTTGCAAAAAAGTGGGAAAATCTATCCATTGCTCTTTTGATATTCTCACAGTGCAACATAGCTCCATATTGATATTGATCCACAGCTCCTCCAGAGTAGAATCGGTCAAAATGCCTGGAATGATCCAACAATCATACATATTTGGAGATGCTAATATCAATCCCAAAAATCCAAAGCTTTTCTTTTCACCATTCTAGTACTTATCCTGGGATTTCAAGAGCTTTTTAAGAGATGAGGTTCAGAAGGACCAGCAAGCTTTTATAGCCAAGCAGCTGCATGGAAATGATATGTACATACTCAAGGTCATGAAATCTAATTTTGGCACATCCTATGAAGTGCTCTAGGTTTAGATTTGTAGAGCATACCCTCAAAAGAGATCTGTGTGGAATCCACAGGATGGGCTGCTTGATGTGTACAAGAAGGAACTCCTCTATTCTAGGTCATACCAATTTGATTTATATTGTATTGGTTTTACGAATTGCTTTACTCATCCTCTTGAATAACATTGCAAAGCAAAACACTAGCCCTTGTTCTTGTGAATATTATTATTATATTATGTATTATTATTTTAATTATTAGTAACACTAATATTATTTGGTATTTTGGTTTGCTAGTAAACATATTTAGCTACATAATTGTAATGCTAAAAGTATTTTAAAATGAGTAACTTTTCTTTCTTACAAAATTTCAAAATTGGAAACGTCACCTTCACATTTTTTCAAAGTTTAAGAGCATTTGCTTTTGGTATCTCATAGCCCCTGAACAAACAAATAGAGATATTGGGCACTCTTGATCAATTCAAATAAACTAGTCATTAAAAACTTACTAGAATCTGCCAATAGAGAGAGCCAAGTCAACAGAAGGAGTCATTAAGAATAGACTTTTAAAATATTCTGGTACATTAAAGAATATTTTCTTAATATTTTAGTGGCTATATTTTTATTAAAGTAGTATTTTAAACAAACTAATAATTTAAATAATATTTAAATATGAATGGGAATATTTCCTAATTGATAGAGGTTTTGCCTTGTAACCTAATTTACAGATGAAAGTATTATTTTAAGATCTAATAATTGGTATTATTAAGTATTTAATTATTACTGTAAAATTCATTTGAGTGTAACTTTGAGAAATGCCCTTTGCTATTTTATATGTAACTTATAAATAATATTTTATAATAAATATTTTAAATTCAAATACAATATATGAGTGTACGGCTACAATGCTATATACTAATATTAGTGTAGTGGGATTTTGGTAGCTGTTGGATTGGTTTCAATCTGGACCACTCACTTTTGTATATAAGCTAGGGTTTTTGGGCTAATTGATATACACATTTTATGTACTTCCTTTCCATATTCCAAACACTCACATGGGTGGAGGTGAGGGGCACTTTTGGAGGTGAGGGGCACTTTTGATTATCTTTAAGGAGTGCTTGAATTTGGGATTTTAGTTTAGATCTAGCTTTTGCATTGTCTAGATCTAGCTTTTTCCATTTTTTTTCTTTTATTTTTCCCTTTTAGGATTTTTGTTTAGATCTAGCTTTTTGCATTGTCTAGATCTCCCATTTCCTTTTCGCTTTTTGTTGTTTCTCTTCTTTTGCTCTTTTTTCATCCGTCTTTATGGCAAATCAACAATTTCCTGCAATAGTTGTACAATTGCTTGATGCTTGGCGCTGGCTCGTGGCCTTGGTGTCCATGGTGGTGTGCTGCATGTGCTGGAGCTCGCGGGTGTGAAGCTCGGTGATGGCCACCATGCCAGGGCGCTTGAGCTCGGCGGGCAAGCATTGGGGCAGCGTGAGCGCCAGAGACCATATCTTACCTGACAAGAGCTTCGACAATAGAAAAAACCAAGTGAGAAAGATTATAACCTAACCCTTGACTTACAAAAATAAAGAGGTACTTTTGGCTTTGTGAAAATAAAAACGAGTGTACTCGAGAGCTGGTGACGCGGGCTTGAGCATGCCAAAGAGCCCAAATGTGAACAGCGATTTAATCTCACAATCACAAAATGCTCTAGGTACAAATGTTTCAAAAAGAGAAAACAACTTTAATTTGATAGCAAATCCTTTTTAGGCTCATGAAATTATGGAAGTAAAAGGAATATTTCAAGAATCTACTTCCAGATCTTTCTTCGAGCATATTCCAGAAGAGGGGGATATACCTTTCTTTTCCATAAACCTAATAAGAGAACGATTGTTCTTTACCATCGCAAAATTTTCACAAAAACTAGCAAATCAAAATGTAGCTTTGGGCTGAGATGAGCGCTCACGAGACCTGGATCTGGGTCACCTTCTTGGCCTCGGGCTTGATCTTGGGCACCACGACGATGAGCACGCCGTTCTTGAGCTCCGCCTTGATGCTCCCCTTGTCAACCTCCTTGGGCAGCACCATCCTCGTGTTGTAGCTCCGGCTGTCGCCAAACACGTCTCCCTCCGCGGCCTTGCGCTCGCCGCGGATCACCAGCTCCTCGTCCTCCACGCCGATGCTCACCTCCGACTTGTCCAGCCCCGGCATGTCCACGCGGATGATGAAGGCCTCGGGCTTCTCCACGATGTCCCATGGCGTCCTCATGCTCGTGCGCGGGGATACTCCTCCCAAGGCGGCCGGAAAGGCGGCGGGGCTGTCAACGTAGCGGTCGATCGTGTCCAGCATCTGGCGGAGGCTCCTTGGCTCCCAGATGTCTGCCATGGAAAAGAAGAGGAATTTCATCAGCGATCAGCAAGAAAATGCGATGGAGCCACTGCAAAATCAGAGCGACGGCCGATCTAACCCCGGAACCAAGAGGACAGCAAGAACAACGCAAAGAGGGAGATGGCCCGATCGAGCGCAAAATATGAAGAAAAACGATCTAAGAATCTCGTCAGCGGCCGGTCTAACCCCGGAAATGCTAGAACAACGCAAGAAATGGGGAGATCGACCGATGGAGAGTGAAATGAGCGAAGTATCGAAAGAAGACCGATGATCTAAGGGAGAGCCGCGGATTTCTCACCAAAGACCCCGAACGGGAGGAACGGCGAAACATCCTTGCGGATGCCTCGGCGCTGCTGATCCTGGGGCGCCTGCTGCGCCGCGGCGGCCGCGGCGGCGTTAGAGTAGCCGCGATGATTCGCCCTGGCAATGCACGCCTTGAGCTGCTTGGGAGAAACCCTAGCCACGATCTTGCTCGCCATAGCTCCGCTGCTGACAAACACAAGAGAATGGATCGAACCAGAAGAAAAACCCTGGGGTTTTAAACGGGGCTCGTCTAGAAGATTCTAGACCCACGCTAAGTATATGCCTGTCGAATATGCGCATTCAAATTTTCGCGCGCGTCGTCTCTCACGAATGCCAAATCTTGTGATCGCCTGTGAGGAGATTTTGCCATCTCTTCCGGAGCGATCCAATCGCCTCTTCGTGAGGAACTGTTTGGATCAAAATCTTGCCCTCTTTCGGAAGCACCGTGATCACTCCTAGTCGAGAGAGTGTTTCCACGGCTTCCTTGACAGGCATTTCAATCTGGAAGAAAACCAAAGCAAGCCGGTGGATTTGCTTCAAAAACCAAAACCATGAGAGAAAGGCAGACCTGTTGTTTAAATCTGTCATTGACGTACTGTTCGCAAATCGATCCAACGTGATCCAGATTTGTATCTTCGTGTCTGAGACGGCTGTGAAGCAGCAATCCATACAGCAAAACCGCTTGCTTAAACTGCACAAAACCACGATGGTGATTTGGGCCTCCCGATGGTTTCGTGTGTGTGAGTAAAACCTGTTGCTCTTCCGAAGCATCGATGAGGAAATGCACGACTCCGAAACCACTGGCAAGAGTTTTCTCGTTGAGTCTCTTACTCACTAGAAGCTGGGCCGAAGGAAAGAAGGTTAATCTGTTTAGAACAGCCACAGCTTTACCTGGTATCTGTCCCAAGTTTGCTTGTAACCGAGGGACACTCTGGTGACGAAAACCAGCAGCGACACCGTTGCGACAATGTCAAGGATAAATGCGGACCTGGGAGATCACACTTTTGTAAGAAATGCTGCCACATAAAGGCTTACGGGGAACTTAAGAGGTCATCGAATCTGTAATTCACAAGAAAAGCAAGAAGCCCGGCAATTGTTGTAAGATCCAAACGAACCTAGTGCAAAATGGTGATTCCTACAATGGTAGAAACTTAAAAGCTGTACTTACTGTGTCAAGCAGTCTAAAGCTCAGCTTCTTGTTTGGAAACACAACCTGCAATTGTGAAAAAACACTCAGCTTTCTATGGCATAATGTTCACAGGAAGTAACTTACCTTGAGATCGGGAACAGGAATGTTGTTGTAAGTGTTCAGCTCGAGCCTCAAATGATCTGATGGATCCACGCCAACGTGTACTGGAGCTCTTTCGTGCATCACAACAAGCTCTTTGAAAGCCGGTTCCTGCAAATCACGACACTTTATTGCCTCAAATCGAGCCTCAACCATGAAAGCAAACCTCCAAGCTTGATTTTGTGAGAAAAACCGAGAAAACGTTTTTCAGCTTTTCCCAAACGCTGCTTCTCAGCTTGGATTCCAGAGCAGGAAGCAGTATGTCTCCCATGGAAACCCTGTTTAGATAACTTGGCCTGAAGAAAAAAGAGAAGGCTCAAAACTAAAGTTCTCTCGAGGACGAGAAGCTACCTTAGCGATGGTTCCTTTGTTGGTGACGATTCGGGGAAGAGATTAGTCACCTCGGTCTTCTCCGGCGGTAGAATTCGCATCCACGTAAGAAATCTCCGGATCAACTTGCCACGAGAGCCAGCAGATGATAAAACAGCTTCGTATCGTGGAACAGCTCGCTGTGCCGCGGCCCACATTGGTAAGTTGTGTCCCTGGTATTCGAACAACTCGTCGGGGGCCAAAGGCTCCTCAAGCCACTTTCGCAGCGCTTCCGTCCATGTATTCTCCACCTTTTGCTTCTGATCAAACATGCACCGAGAATGCGAAAAGAAGTAAAGCTTACCTTCATTTTCCCGAGCAATGGCCGTGCAAAGAGATAGAAAACCCTGCGAAGAATCCACGATTGCAAGTAGTCCAGCTTTGCACCAAAGAGAAAGCCTTCCTGTTTCTCAGTTGCGTAGCCGCGCCTGCAAAAAGAATAAAAGTTGGACATGGAAACTTTGGAAACAAAGAAAACAGAAAAAAGAAAAACCTGTAGAAGAAAGGAAGAACAGTACCTGAAGATTATAACGTTGGCTGACGACGTGCTCTTCCAATCGATGTCGATCGGCAGCGTGAGGAGATAGTCGGAATTCAGAGCTGTGGTTAGCTGCAAGTCCCGTGCCGAGAGCTCTTGAAACTGCGCTCTCCGGAGAACGAGCATGATATTCTGCTGGAAGCGAGACGTCCTGTCCTGCCAAAGAGACCATCACTTAAACTCCTGGCAATGGCCATGAAAGTTTTTCTATCGTGCCTGCTGGAAGGCGCTGCTGCCCTCCCATTCTCCTTGATGTTGAGCGTGCTCTTGTGGTCTTGCTGGGAAATGGACGCAAAACTATCCACGCGAAGCTCCTCGAGCAGGGATTTGTGCTCGGCATGGAGGATAGACTCTAGGCAGCTGGAAGAATGCAAGAACTTCAATACAAAAGGTTGCTAGTGATCTCTTTCTTCTATAGCTTAACGTGGAAGAACTTACACGAAACTTACGAGCAAATGGTGAGAAACTGGGATCTCTCCTCCTCGTCGTTGCCGGCGGAAGAACGCAGCCCTTGCGAGAGGCTTGTCACCAAATCGAGCTTCGAAACCTGGATGTACTTCTGCCTGGTCACTGGGATCCTGGTGACATACCCCTGGCTGCCATCGCCCTCGTAATCCTGGAGATCGAAAGCGCGCCTCGTTTCCTCCAGCTCAACGCTCGTTTCAGCGAGCGGAATGGGATCCTGGCGCTTGAGACTAGCAACTTTCGGGCGGAGAATCCTATCCTGGTGGCCAGGGAGTGGAAGAAATCGCGAGCGCCAGGAGCGATTGCCATGGCCGGAGAGCGCCATTTGGCATTTGCCACGACACAAAAGAATTAAAGTTTGTGGTTTTGATATCTACTCACACGATGGTCTCTCTCCTCTTTCTTTCTCTCTTGTCTCTAGGATCGCGAGGATCGTCTCGTCTCGTCTCGTCTCGGCTATCCTCTATCCTGGGAAGCGTGTTCCAAAGATCCGGAAGCGCCGGCTCGTCCATGGCTGCTCCTTGTCCACATAGTAGGACTTGATGCAGCACGAGACGTATGGTGGCGTAGTATCCAGGCCATCGCTCGCGCACAGCAGCCTGCTGAAGCTCCTCTCGAGAGCGCCCAGGCAAGCGTCCTCGGCCTCCCTGCGAGCCGCGGGATAGCCATTGAAGAACCTCTCCTGTTGTCACACAAAGTTGGTGCTAGCGTGTTCTTGAGAAGAAAGCAAGCTTTACCCCGTCCTCGGCGAACAAGTAGGCGTGGATCTGCGCTGTGGGATCCTCCAGAGTGAGCTGCAGCTGGTACACATACTGCCCGTTTACGCAGCGGCAGAAGTCGACTGCTCTGGGAGGATTTGCCGATCGCACGCGCACCAGGCACCGAAACTTGTATGTCACCTGAATCGCTACAAAGTTAGATGAAGATAGTCTCGCGAGTAGCAAACCTGCGGCCATGCCAGAACCTCCCTCAAGCTTGAGTAAGGAACGTGATCGTAGTCCGTGACTGCAAGCCCAACGCTGTCAAGTTCTTTCCAAGCAAGAAAGCTGCTTGCCTGTGAGTGATAGGAGCGGCTTTGGACAGTTTTCCGGCAATCCTGCCTCGGCGGAAGCAAGGCGGTGCTCGTACCACCTGCAGGCAGCGTTTCCGGTGAATGACAGAAAGCTGGGATGAAATACCTTTCAGCTTCTTCCACATTTGGATAGTCAGAAGCAAGGATACTGATCTTGCTGTCCCGAGTGAAGACGCCTTCCAGCTTGCCTCCGCAGTTTCGGCTCGTTATGTTCCGGAACTTGACCCAGCTCCCGACTCGCGGAATCCAGTCCCCGTGTTCGTCGGAAGCAAAGTCGACAACGACTTGTAAGACGGTGCCTTTCGAAGGGAACTGCCGCAGTGTCACGAGTGGTAGCGATGGGCTCTCCACACTTCACAAAAGCAGCTTATAAGACAAACCAAGAACAAAGCGGAATACTGACAAGGGAAGAGATGTTGTTGCTGGTGAATCCGTGCCATCCCAGACGTATACAAACGTAGGACAGTCGTCGGACAGCCTGCTTACGTGAAGCACCTGAAGACCCAAAGTAAAAAACAAATCTAGACAAGAAAACCATCAGCAAACCTTGCAGCACAAATCGAAATAGGAGTGGGGTTCTTTGATGTCTCTTATTCGGACGAGGTACTCAGTCGAAACTGATGAACAAGATGAGAAGAATGAGGAAAGAAAAGTAAAAAAGATCGTTACAAACATACGAGGCTTGGAAAGATGAGTGCTCCTCCATGCTCGCATCAAGTCCAGAATCCTTCGGTCGTGTTCCTCGAACGTGAATGCGTTGGACGAGATCTGATAAGGCTCGTTGCTGCCACCACTGCCGCCATCGAACACAGCAAATGCGGATGCTTTGCCCAAGCTGGCAACCGCCTGAGGCGATCCCTTGTGAATATCAATCTGAAAGAACCACAGAAAAATGAGAAGGCTAACTATCGGAGGAAAGCTTACCCGGACGCGATGGAAACGTATAATGTCGTGGAGAGCTCTAACGTAGGGGACGTGATCTTTGGAGCCGAACACGAGAACCCGCAAGCCGGGCGAGGACATATCAGCCACAGTCATCGTGCAGATCATGTCTAGCAGCATTTGTGAGAAATATTTGTGAGAAACCAAAGAAGAGATTCAAGCAAAGAATGCGAGTACCTTTGCCCTTCGTGGGCTTTGGAAGCGAGTAGTCGATGACAACGCCATAGAAGTTTACCTGTTGCTCCACGGCGATGCAAGCGTCCTTGAGTTTCATGTATTCGTACTTCCCTTCTCCCTCCATGGCGCGCGTAAACCCTATCAAACATCGAACAAACCATGAATAAAAAACGAATTTGATTGAAGTAAAGAGTCTTTACATGTTCTCGCTGGCACTAGGACGACGCATCGTAGTCACTCGGTTTTGGTGTACTCGAGGAGAATGTGGGGGGAGCGATAGATTTTCACCAGCGTCCAGAACAATCCTTCTTCCAGTGCCAGTTCTCTTTCAGCGCGTGCCGCGTATATGTCTTCGCAGATCGCTATCAATCTGCGAAAGCGAAGAAGCGGTCGACTTAACGCAAGCGAAAAGCATGAAAATCGATCAGCACAGACCTGTCGCACGATGGGAAGTTCTCGTACGGAATCCTCATTCTCAAGTCCGCGCACTGCAGCCGGATGAAACGACCGACTGCTAGGACGAAGGTGATGTACAAGCTCCAGATGTTGAATTTGCTGAGCGTGTCGCCGATCAGTCCCTCTGCATTGACACCAGTTAGCCAGCCACGAAGCTTTACGTTTGATCTTACTTGGGACTTCCTCCGAAACCGCAATGGCCATTGGGCCGGTCACGTCTCCGCAAACACCGCTTGAAGATACGTTAAACGACCACCACGCTTGAGTTTCTCTATTCAAAGTAAGGTTGCCAGACACAGTCGCGGACTGTAAAGCAGGAAACGTTAGAACACATAGAAGAGATAGTTTCGACACTTACGGTTTGCTCTAGCAAGCGAGCTTCTCCTCCGCTTGTCACTCTAAAGTACCGCGGATAGAGATCGGCCACAAGGATAGAACTGAGTGTTCCATTTAGGACCTCTTGCAACTGCTTGATCGCCAAAGGAAGCCCGGTGAAGGTGGCAGTCTCCTTGCTCTTTGGCCTCTCCCGATGGAAATTCCAGGATGGAACCAGTAAAACTCCCTCAGTGAAAGATTTCACCAGATTTCTCAGTGTCGGCGGTGGTATCAACCAAAGTGAGTCAGCATCCTCTTCACAGCACACCATCTGTACGTCCTTGCTGTCGAAGGAATCGAGAGCGTTGTCGACATCTATGTCATATCCACTGTCTAATATATCTGCCATTGAATGTAGATTGCAAAGCTGACTCCTGTAGAATGTAAAGCTTCCACCAGCGGTCCTGAGACTGATCTCAAAGTGTGCTTCCGTGATCTCGTTCACGAAGTTGGTAGGATTTCCGCTACTATAAATCTGTAAGAAATCATCATCAGCTATCACAATCAACCATGGGAAGTTCTTTACCAGCATTGGAGCCCAGATAACGCAGATCAATAGAAGGAAAAGGCAAACACCATTTGTAAACTTGACCCAAATACTTCGCTTCTGTCCCAGCTGATGCTTCTCTCGCGCAAGTTTATTATCGCACTGCACCAAAAAGAGGCTGGCATAGATATCTTCCAGCTGCACAACGGTCGTCAGAGATCTAGTGACGAAGGTAGAAAAACAAATCGTGCTTACCTTTAGCCAATCGTACATTGAAAGAGAAGTTGTTGTGCACGACCAGTCGAGTACGCACCGAAGCTCGAACAAGAAAGGCAAGGATCGGTATATACGAAAGCCAAGCCAGCTCAAGCTGTTGATCTTTCTCGTCAAAAACTGCTCGTACAGCGTGTTTTTGTGTGGCAAACCAAATCGCAATTGCTGTGCCTGAAACGCCAGAGATAAAGCTTTGAGAAGGAAGAAACCACGAAGCGGAAGAAGCTGAAAGAATGTCCCAGTGTTGTTGTGCTTCAGCTCCATTCCCCAAACAAAATTTGTTATGTAGCCCGTGAAAAAAATGAGCGTAGCAAAATAGTAAATCACTTTCCCGGTTGCAAACGCACTAAGATACAGTACTCTATCCAGTACTATGAGGAAGAACAGCGTCTGCATAAATGCCACACGTTAGTCGAAAACTTGACGACGAGAAACCTTACGTACAATGAGGGCGAAAACGTATTCTTTTGGAAATTGATCCTCGAGCTGGTAGACGTCGAGAAACTCTGGTGTGCTCTTGATGAAAGATTGGTAGAACAATGCCATGTACATGAACGCGATAAGGTCCGTGCCGAAAACGTAGGCGTAAAGATCAACTTGTCTTCTTCCCCCAGCGATGACAGATAGAATGGGATATGGAAAGTTGGCCTGTTCGAGCAACCCGTCCTGTTTGGCCTTGACAATCTCTGTGGCAACGTCCGAAGCCGGAGTCAAGGATGTGAAGAGGTCGCTAACAGGCCCTCCCAATGCAGGCGCTGCATGAATAACTTCCAGCATAGCGAACGCGGTAGACTCGTCCGTTCCACACTCTAGGCTCTCCACACGCACCCGGCTAGCGTCTTCGAGCACTGCACCGCTGCTGCTGGAGCTTTCGTACCTCACAACTATTAGCAGCCGGTTGAAAGCGGTCTCAATTCTCTCCGGCTGTATACCGTGTTCGGACCACTTGGAGACGGACAGCTTTACTTGAACGAAGTGAGGAGGGACTTCGGAGCCGCTCGTAAGAGAACGCCAGCACTTCAAGACGGTTTTCAGGCTTCCAATGCAGTAGCCGGCAATCCACGTCCAGAACTTTCCGGCAGAAAAGTTCTGGTTTGGATTTTCCAGATCGGGCGAACGTCGGGAAGTGAAGAAAGAATTAGAGTCCGTGGCAAGCATCCACTCCCCTTCACGGTCTTTGATAGAGTTCTGGACCAAGGTGGCTAGATAGACCAGGAAGAGCGGTAGAACACTCGCCACAAACGACCGGTTCATGTTTCTTCCTGGAATCCCGATCTGCTTCAACCATGATGGAAGCTCGTCGTGGCCACAGTGGTTTACCAGTGTCTGGTACATGTACTGAAGCAGGATGAGGATTTCTGTGTACATAAGCATTGCTGACCAGAATAGTTGTGTTGGTCCTGGATTCACCAGTAGAGCGTAGAGAAACAGGCACGCAGGATACACCAAAGTAAGGAGGCTGAAGTTCCATACGTAGACAAGCACGAAAAGCACGTAGCAGACAACGTCTGTGTTTGCAAGGACCAGTGAGTAGACGTAGGTGCTTAGAATGCTCAAGCGCTGGCGTGTTTCAAACATAGGAGACTTCTGATCTTCAAGTTTTCCAGGAGAGATGTGCTTGGGTAGTCGCCTTTGATCATCACCTTCATCAGCAGAAGAGCTGCCTGCTTCATCGGAATCTGGATTTTCAATGTTGAGAAGCCCGACCAGGTTGGCGAGTGCCTTGTTTCCGATGTCATGCATTTGCGCGACACCGTTTTCGAGGAAGGAAACCCCAGATAGAAGACTATGCTTCATTGAAGGTGTCTTCACCATGCTGTCTTCTTTGTCCAGGTTCTGTAAGATAATTCCCCTGTCCAACACCTCAGGTTTTATCTCGTTGTCATCCTGTTCCAAAAAGAGTTTCCGCCTCCTTCTACAAGAATCAGCACCAGAGTCACGACGGTGTCCAGAGTGATCAAGCAGGGCACTGTCCGAAATGGAGTTAACCAGCCGAGAAGGAGTCCCAGAGGCCGCCGCATCCTTATTTGGCAAGAAACGAGGAATGTTTGATGGAGAAAACGCTTCCCTGAATTTACTCGCAGAGTTCAGCACGTCCAGACGTAGCTGTAGGGGAACCATTTCCATCTTCATCTTATCCACCTGTAACCGCCTCTGTGATTTCTTTTCTTCTATCTCTCGAACTCGTTGCAGCTGCTCCTTCTTCCATTCTGCTTTTCTTTCGTGAGCACAGGCCAGCGCTTCAAACTGCTCTGCCGCGAGATAACGAAGGACCTGCTCGAACTCCTTTGTTCTGAAAACTCGAGACTGCAAGCTTACAAGGCAGAAAATTGTAATGTCCACGAGAGCAGAGCGGGCTGTGATCTTGAAGCCGTAGTCATATTTGTAGAGACCAAAGATGCTTGACGGCGAGCAACCAGCTACAAATCCAAAGAAAGGCGCTTGGAAGACGAGCGACGCCACTATAAGACTGAAATTGTATAGCCTCAAGAAGAGAAAAATAGTGTTTCGTCTCCTCATAACTGTAGTTCGCATGTGGAAGAATACCATGGAGAATGCGAGGTAGCCGAGGTGCAAGAGGTCATATTGTAATGTTCCCGTGATGAAAACTAGCAGCAAAACAGCGTGTAAAAGATGGCGATAGAAAAAGAAACGAAGATAGTCCAGCCATGTCCAGTGAACCGTCGTCTCGTAAGACATCTCTGCCCAGGCTACCCTGTGTGTTGCGGATATGCCAGTCCACTGTAGTGATACAGTTTCGAGCAACTTATTTGCCCGAAGCTGGAAAGACGTAACGATGAAGACCATAAAATATGCAACTAGCACCTGCCTATCGTCCACCATACCTGTACCAAAAAATAAATTAAGTTAGTTCGATAGAGTGAGTTGCAAATCCAACTTACCAAGCCAGCAACTCCAACAAAACTTCGACTTTCCCTTCAAGTCAGCCCAGCAATCGTGACAACGTTTCGTTGATTCATTTGAAACACTCCAAGGTGGCGGGAGCTTTGCCAACGTTGCATACTCGTAGAGGAGTACGCCGGCGAACAGAACTGTGAAGGCAGGCCATAGCGGACGAAGCCATTTCTTGCTCAATATAATACATAGCGCGAGTATGAGAATATATAGCAAAGAAAAGACGTTGACAACGGCAAACGCTGCGACCAGAAGGCATAGCATGATCATCTCGACGCCGAATATTGTGAAAAAATTCTCGAGTATAAACTGCCCCCACATTTTCAAAGCCTGGCATTGGGCTTCGTAAGTCTCCTGCTTCATAATTAGCGCTCGTCTACTCCATTTCCTGCTTTCCTTTGGTGTCAGAGAAGGAGATCTGTGGACATATTTTTTACTATCAGGCGCTTCAGCGTTGATAGCCTGTTCCGGTTTCCGTATAAGAGGTTCATCAAGACGAGGACTGTGGGGTTGGACGCGATGGAATGTGGCCTGACGACGATCGTCGCTGTCTGCTCTCCCGCTGAATGGTAGAGAAAACAGCATGCATGGCTCCTCGTTTCGTCGTAAAGAACTTGGTACTTGTTCTAGCCATTGGAAGGAGCAGTATTGCAGCATGCAAGCCAGTATAACCAGTGTCTTGCTGCGGCTTCCAGCTTCAATACCCCAGGGACCTTCCTCGTATTTACGAAGTCCTAGCCAGTGTATAAGGTCGGCATTTTGTGCCAAGCAGCCATCCTGCCTATCAACCAGCTGGAACAGATACTCGAGAAATAAAAGCAGCCCAGTATACGCAGCGAAAAGCTGAGAAGATAAAGGAGAAGACTTCGGCACGGCACAGGATATCACCAGCATAATAAGGTAGACAAATCCGAAACCGCCAACCGGAAAAATAGAAGCATAAAACACGGCGACAAACAAAACTTTTCCACTGTGTAGTATAAGGAGCCGCTTTACGAAGTCCAGGTTGCTCATAAAACACGGAAAGTGAATGGAGTCTTCTTCCAAGCAAGACTGGGATCGCTCAAATCTGTAGAGCTGCAGGACAGCTAATATAGCTAGAGAATCCCATACGTGAAGGAAGAGAGACGCGTTTCCATCAAAGCCCAAGTCACCCTTCAAGTCCACAAGTTTCTCAGCAAATGGCTGCAGGTCGGGAAAAACGCTGAGGAGGTACCGCAAAACAAAAACCAAGCATGTGTAGAGGAAAAGTGGAGACCATAATATCCATTCTGTTTTCCCGAGCACCTGTCGACCAATAATCCAAAAGAGGAGCAGAGCAAGGAAGCCAAACGCAATATAATTTGGCTCCGCTGCATAGACTGTAATGAGGACTGTGGCGTACACGATATATGTTCCAAACGAACGGTAAGTTGCACGAAAATGCTCACCAACAGTAGCAAGGTGATTAGTGATCCAGTTTTCTGCAGGGAGAAGATGTGTGAAATTAATGGTTGAAACTAGATGCTTACCAGTAGAGGAAGGTTCGAAATTATATGCAAAGGATTTTGAACCGTAAACTGATAACACATAAGGCCTGTATTTCAGAGCACTCTGACGTGCCACTGCTGACAGAGAGCTTATCACTTTGATTCCATGATTCTGAACTGCAGAAAAGCACAATAGAGCTGCCACAGGTATGTAATCATGATATGTTGCCTTGTTCCATATCCCTGCAAGTAATTCCAATCGGAGTTCATTAACCAGGATTGAGTCACCCTTACCTAGTTGAGAGAGAACGGGCTTTAAGATTTTACTATGAGCAGTGATGAGTGCTGAAATCGATTGGAGTTGCAAGATGTAAAGAATAGAAATATGCAATTCGCAATAAAGCATGAGATATTGGCGAGTTTTTCTCGCCACGGACGAGCTAAGAAGATAAACCATGAAGAATATCACTGCACATAAGAATGTTTAGGAAAAGCCTAGAAAGAAACGTGTGTACTTACTATACACCGCATGAACAAATCCACTTCTAAGAGCGACTATAAATATAAGAACAAGTGATATCACATGGGTGCTTCTTCGTAGGCACCATGCTATCACCGCAATAAACAGAATCCATTTCTTTCTTAGCTCTGAAAGAAAGAAGTGAAGTTAGATAGGAATGTCCACGATAACAGAATGCATACCATCCTCTCGAAAGGTGTCATCTTCAGCGATTCCTTCTACTTCATTGGCACTCTTTAAAATGCTATTTCCCACAAATAAGTCAGTCGCAACAAGAACACCGAGAGCATATTGGGCCAGAAGGAAAAGTCCAGGTGATGAGTACTTCCAAAGGCCAACTGTCTGCCAAATATCGACGTCCTGCAAATTCACTAGATATAAAGCCTGTCACTAAAGAGTTGCTAACATACCATCTCAAACCTGGTGGCAAAAACTGTGAAGCCCGCATTGAAAATATATGTACATGATGCCCAAGTGAGTATAAAACCAAGTAGCAATCCATTTAGGCGACGTAAAAGGAACAAAGATGGAAATATGTACAATATAATTCCAACATACAGTAGTAGGAAAAACGCGCAGAAACTTGCGAACTTAAAACTCCAGCAAACAAGAGCGAAAAGGCAAATCTAAACATCAACAGCCACCCGTTAGCTTTGATCACCAAAAACCCAAAACAACCTACAGGAAAGCCACATGCGAAAAAATACATAGCGACTTTTTTGAAAACAAGAAAACGTTGTTGCTCCGATATCCACCATTGTCTTGATCTACAACCAAAAGCGATAAATCAGAACCACTAAAACGTGTGTAGTACCTGGCGCTTCTTGGGGAGTTTAAAAGGCCTTGATACAGATTATCCTCGTTTGCAATCAAAGCCTGCTTTACGTGGTATAAGTCCTTCAAATCTCCAATTGCGAAGCATAGCTACATATACAGTCACATGAATGAAGTGAGTTTCAAAATGCTTACCAATACAAAGAGTGTTAAAATAGAGATCAGGTGTACTCCTTTTGCCCAAGTCATTTCCGCTGATGAGGTTTCAAAGAGTCCGAGATAGTCTACTATGTGTAGAAGCCGCGTCGGAAACGAAATTGGTAATTGGCGAACATAGAAAATGATAATGTGCATGGTGTTGTAAACTAGTAAAGGTTGCCATCCCCTAAATCGACACAAGCATTTTAGAAAATTCTAACAAGGAAAAAGATGGAGTTTCTACCAAGAGAGCCCGAAGAAGTTGCCGGTCATGGACCAATGAAAAAGCCCAGTGCAACTACAGACGAAGTAAGGCAAAGCTGCCCAGCATGGGAAAATAGATCCCGCGACTATCTGCAGCGTTGGAAGAACGAAATTCCGTAAGAAAGCTCTAACTTCAAATGCGTCAAATTCTACACGCGGAAGATTCACAGACATAAGAACAAAAATATAGATGAATGTAACAAGTTCACCTCGAGGTCCAAATTCGATCCGTCTTCGCCAGCGTAGCCCATACAAAGAAACTACTCCAACGAGCATTTTCGGTAGGAAAAATAAAAGAATGCCATCGGAATGATCGAGCCTGTAACATGCACAAGCATGAAAATACCGATCTTCATGCAGCAAAGACATTGAAAGTACCTTGAAACACCAAAAACTTTTGAGATGGACGACTTCCAGAACCGCCAGTCCCTTCCGACTGTAGCCTGTAGCAATGCAACAGTAACCCCGCAAATTGTTCCAAGCAAAGAAACTCCCAGCGACATCCACAAGGATTGCCATGGTTTTCCAGATTGGACTACACAAAACCATATAAAAGAGCAAGATCATAATGAATCGGAGTTTTATCTTACCTTGTCCTTTAAGTTCGTATTGGAACACGAGAAAACTGACCAGGAACAAGAGGGAAATCACGCTCCAATTCGTGAATGCAGCTGACAGAAGAACTATCGAGAGGCTGAGAGCAATCACAAAAACGCGCATCGTCCTGGCCACACGAGAAATCACGCATTATCCCTGTAGATCGATCCAGCTCCCAGAATGCGCTGGCCTGGAGATTACCCGGCGCGATCCAGGAGAAGATTCTGGCGCTCAATCCAGAAGGCGCGGTGGATCCGATTCACGGCATGGCTACACGCAACTCGTTGCTGGCATAAACCCTAGAAGAGCTGTTATTGGAGAGTACTCTGCCACATTCCTCCCTCCCTTTCTCTCTCTTCACACGCTAAAGCAACGCACAGCGTCGGTGCGACACGTGGCGCAACCTGGCCACGGCGATTTAGCTCAATCCAATGGCGTGGGAGATGACTGAGAGGATGGCCCCAAACACAGCACCGGCGAGAACTTGGGATTTTGTGTGACCGGTCGATTCTTTGAGTGGAATGTACTGCCATCCATCCTCGCTCCCGAGTTCTTGGATCGACACTTCGCCCTCTTTCATGCTGGGAAGATTTTGCGCTGTCTTGAAGAACTTGGTTGATCTGGAGAAAGGCCCATTGTTGCTGGAATCCACTTCTCCTCTCTCGAAAGCGTTTGATGATTTCGTAGCTCCCACCGGTGCCTCGACGAGCAATTCCGGCCTCGATGATCGGGGTGATGGTTCTTTCGAAACTTTGTACTGCGCGAAGGCTATTGTGTTGAGAATCTCGGCGTGTTTGCCGACTTCTCTCCGGACCCCCTGAGATTCCAATGCTAGAAAGAAAAAACAAAGACAAAAAAGATTTTTTAAAGCACGAACCTGTGCGTCGTACATGACAATCCCAGCGACTACCATCGCGAAGCCGAACAGCGAGTCCGAAAATCCCCTGGAACCAAAACCCCGGCTTAAGACAACCATTGGCATCGCGAAGAACTCACCAGTTGAGAATAGATTTACCTCTCCAAGCCAAGAGCAGTTGCGGCGGCAACCATGCTCTATGTAATAGAACAAACGTCACAAACTGGCAAGAAAAAGAAAGAGATGAAAAATCGCACAGCGGCATGAGCCGAGGGTGTTCCGCCGGATCTGAGCATGAGCTTCCAATTCAACCCTTTCCCGGCTACAGCTGCAGTCAATGGCTTCACGAGCTGAGCGGACAATCCAGCGAGAGCTGCGCTCGCCAAAACCTGGCAAAATCTCAAGGAATCAGGAAATTTTCATCCTAGGATTGTCCAGCTTACATGATTTTGAGGTATTTCTTCCAGCAGGCCAGCCGTCACGGTCCTACCGGCGCCGAGATTACGCTGGCTGCTGCTGATCCACATTCTCCTATAAGAGAGACGCGATCCCAGCCAGTTGCAGTGCAATGGCGCTGCGATCGCCATAACTCGAAAGCCCTAAAGTCGAGGAAGACCTTAAACCCCTAATATTCAAATCCAGCTAGGCGGGATCGAACACAAGACCTTTAAATTCAACTTTTACTTGGATATTCTATCCGGTCAAGTCAACGGTCACGGCGATATGAGCAAACGGAAAACCACGAGCCCAATAGACGATGCGACTGTGACAATGGAGGCTTTCGATCGAGACGCCGTGTTCTTGCTCGCGGTCATGGTGGAGGGCGCGGAAGAATTCGAGGGGGAAGAGTTGGCTTTGAGAGGCGGCACCGCTGATGGCTCGGGAGGACTCGCGGAAGAACTGGGCGTTGGCGCGCCGCCGCTAAGGCTGATCACCAGGATGCTAAACTTCTGGCCCTTGGCGCAGTGATCCGCGGTGCCGGAGATGTAGTAGTGCGTGCCCGGGCGCGTAAGGCGCAGCACCGATTTGCCATCGTTGTGGTGATTGATCGGGTTGCTGGAGGCGCAGCTCTCATAGCCCGCGCGATTCACCTCGAGAACAGTATCCTGGCCCTCGGGATAGTTGAATACTGCCACACGAATCGCCGAAATTTCGCTCAGATCTGCCAAGAAATAGGAGAAACCACTCACCGAGGTAATCGCCGGGGTAGAACTTCTGCTTGAGCGCCCAGCTCGTGTAGTTGACATCGGGCTTCCATCCATCCGAGTCGCCGACGGTGTAGCGCGCGGCCTGCGATGCCCGAAGAACACAAAGGAAGAGGAGGAACACGAAGCGCACCTCCATCGCCGCCTCGAGCCCTAGAAGATGGGAATGGGGCAATGTGGGTGCTTGAAAGGATCCAGCTTCTCCCAGCTCGATACGCCGGGGAATATTCACCCGTTAGAAAAACTGTTGCGAGGGTCGAAACCCGGGGTGAACGGTACGGTAGACGGCATTTGGGCCGCCCTGGCGCCGAACGTACGGCTTTGAGTGTGTGTATAGATTTGTTGTTGTTTTGCTTTCGCAGGAAGTCCCAGGGGACAAAAAAATATGGCAGCTAGTTTTTAGGGTTTCTTGGCGAGAGCTGGAGGAGGAGGCTCGATGGACGACGCGACGCTGCACCAGGTCGTGCAGCAGCACGGGATCAGCGTTCTTGGCCAGCATCACCAGCCGATTTCGGAGCATGCGCCATCGTCGCTGGTCCAATCGCTCGCGCTTCATGTGGTTCGTCGTCGCGTCATCGCATTCCTTGTTCTTGCGATGGAAATTTCTTGCTGAGATTGCCGATTCGTGTATGCTCCAGTCTTTCGATCATGGATATTTCCTGACCGTGAGAGCGATTCAAGAACTCCGCGACAAGAGGAATTGCTCGGTCTCTGTCGGCATCGGAGGTCCCAGTGGATCAGGGAAAACCAGGTACTTTGCTTACCTATTCTTCAAAGTTACTCTATCGGGCTGGCTTGCAGCTTGGCGGCAAGAATCGCATCGGTTCTTGGTGGCGTTGTCATTTCCATGGAGAATTATCATGATCCTCGATTGCCTGTTGACGACAGCAACGATAAAGATTCAGTCGACTTCGACTTGCTGATAAAAAATCTAGAAGTAAGGGTGCTCTTGGCGGTTCTTTTGATTCTTTCTGATTCTCTTCCCAGGACTTGCTAAAGGGGAAGGATATCACGGTCCCATCGTTCGATTTTCAGCAGAAAAAGCGGACAGGCTTTAAACCTCTTAAAGCTCCAAAGTCGGGAGTGGTACGATGTTCATGTGAAGTTCTATTTGAATGTTGCTAATCGTGGTTTGCAGGTTATTGTCGATGGAACATACGCATTGCATGCAAAGTTGCGGTCATTTTTGGACATACGAGTTGCTGTGGTAAGTACAGGCATTCCTTTCGGAAATGCGTGTTATTCGAGTTTGAAAATCTAGGGATATAGGTAGGAGGCGTGCATTTCAGCTTGCTATCCAAGGTCCGGAGAGATATCGGAGATACTTTTTCTCTGGATCATCTTCTGGACAGCATATTTCCAATGTTCAGAACGCACATAGAGCCTGACCTCCACCACGCCCAGGTACGTCAATCTGAGCATCTGTGAATGCATTTTCCAACTGTCTTTACTACACAGATCAGAATTAGCAACACTTTTGTTTCTTCTTTACGAGAGCCTTATTACATTTTGAAATGCGAGAAGCAGGTACTTTGCCAATAAGCAGCTTTGGTGTATCCTCCTCCGTTTATTTCATCAGGTGCTTAAGACGTCGTTAGAGTTCCTGTTCAGCTCGTCCAAAATTCGCCATGAACAGTAAGTTTCTAGCTACGCAATTGCTCATAACCCGTCTCGCTGCTAGGTTCATCGAAATGTATTTGCGACCACCTACACTTTTCGAGAATAGTAAGCCAAGTGATTGGATCAGAATGCGACAATGTGGGATAAGATACGATCTTGCCGAGAGCGATCAAAGAATCGTGGATAAAAATTTTGTAATCAAGCCGAAAGTGGAGTTTGAGGTTCGACGTTTTTCTTTTATAGAATTTTCAGCCATCTTTCTATATAGGTGGGTAAAACAACTTTGGGAGGACTATTGGCACTGGGTTACCAGGTTGCGGTTAGCTACAAACGTGACTCTGCAATCATGGACAATGGAAAAGTCGCGATCTCATTGGAAAGCCTTGATGACCTGGACAAGACGTTTGTTCAACTCAAAGGCACCGATCGTAAAGTAGCTGCATTTTCAGTAATATCGCTTTGAGGCTTATACTTTTGCTTTCAGGTCGTATCGGCTGAAGCAACAAAGCTGGGTCTTGAAGGTCCGTGGATCACAAAGTCCTATATGGAAATGATTCTTGAGAAGAAAGGTACTAGTTGTTTTATCCCTATTTCTTGCGATTTTATGTATTTGGGGTAAACAGGTCCACCACGCATGGATTCTCCGCCTCTACCTTCTTCTGCCTTCCTCACAACGATGAGTTCTCCAACGTTTACATCCGTTGAAAGAAATGTAGTGTCTCCTCGACCACTGCGGGTGAAAGCGGAAAGATCGTACAATCTAGACATGTGGACAAGGTCACCAACAAAGTCTGACGTCGAGCCTCTAAGTGGATCCTGGCATATCACTACAAATTCTGGAATGACATTTAGAGGTGAGCTTTGATCATATCATAAGGAAGGTTTTATCCTTGTATGTTCCAGGTGATAGCTTTGCTCCAACGTCCGATGTTTACTTTCCATCTGATCAGGAAGTGTCTGAAACTTCTCCAAGGGAATCAGTGAAACTCTTGCCTATGCCTGAAGTTTTCGACTTCGATAGAGGACTTCTGCTTGCAGTGCAGGCGGTTCAGGCAAGAATTCTGATTTCCGTCTTTAATTTATATGCATTGCTTTTTGCTTCATCTGAATTCAGACCCTTCTAAATAAGAAAGGCGCTCCAATCATCGTCGGTATAGGTATATGTGCATACCTCCTGCTTGTTGTTTCCTGAATGCACTCAATATTTCAGGTGGTCCAAGCGGCTCGGGAAAGACCAGCTTGGCTCACAAAATGGCTAATATTGTAGGCTGTGAAGTGATCTCTATGGAGAATTACTTCAAAACCGAGGAGATAAAAGAGTTCAAGTATGACGACTTCACAACTCTCGATTTGGCACTTTTGCTGAAGGTATAATTTTTAATATTTGACGTTGCGTTGCTGATTCGTTTTTCTTTTTAAAGAATATTGAGGATGCGAAAACTATGCGACCTACAAGAATTCCAGTCTTCGATTTTGAGAGAAACGTCCGGAGTGGAACAAAGGAATTGGAAGTTTCAGACGAGTGTGGAGTAGTAGGTGTTCATTCGCTTAACAACTTTCAGAATATTTACGTTTACTTTTCAGGTAATAGTGGAAGGTGTTTATGCGTTGCATCCAGACATTCGAGGCTTTCTAGACATGTCGATTGCAGTTGTGAGTACACTGTTCTGTTCTATCTTCTTCTCGTTTTTTGGCTGATTACTTAAGGCAGGTTGGGGGCGTGCATTCACACCTCGTCACACGAGTCATGCGGGATCTTGAGCAAACTGGGAGATCAGTTTCGCGACAAGAAGTTATGACTACTGTTTTCCCCATGTTCCAGCAGCATATTGAACCCCACCTCATGCATGCACATGTAAGCTCGCATCTCACGAATGGCAGGCTAATGATTTCTCTTGTGCGCAGCTCAAAATATGCAATGATTTTGATCCCGTTCATTCTCCCGAAAGTTCCATGTTCGTTCTAAAAAGCAGCAAGGAGGTATCCCTTTGTTGAGCTCTTTAAAATATGATGTCTGGATATTTTTTTAATAGGTTGCATACGAGGAGATTGCAAAGGTCTTGGACCGTGACAAAATGACCACCACTGTACAGACGTTTACAGACATCTATTTTCACCTACCTGGACTTCCTTCTACGAATAACCATTACTCTGAGAGCAAGTGGATACGCGTCCGCAATTGCGAGGGACGTTTTGCTCTGCTCATTAGGGAGGTATGTTTTGTTATCTACGTGGTTCTTTGATTGATGCATTTTCTACAGCCAATTAGAGAAGGCAATTTCATCATTCAACCAAGAGTTGATTTTGACATCAGTGTAAGGACCGTAGCAGGATTGTTAAGCTTAGGGTGAGTACTTGATTCCTGATCGTTAATACGTGCTCATGAACTCTATGAACCAGTTACCAGGCTGTTGCTTACATTGAGGCCACTGCAACCATCTACCAAGATGATAAGGTGCGTCAGTTTTCCAGTGCAGTAGTTTAACGTCCTCATTTGCAGCTTCTGATCGAGGTTGATCATCTAAAGAACATCTCTACTCCGTACATTCAAATCAAAGGTTCGAACAAAGAAGCTGTAGCAACCGCTGGTCATGCACTTAAGCTGGATGGAAACTACACCACCTCAGTAAGTCAAGCTGTTTGCCATGGCACAGTGATCCGTTCTACTGTTTCCATTTTGTGATTCAGCCTTACATAGAGATCATCCTGGCGAACAGACCAGCTTTTGGTGATGGCATCACTGGCGTTCATGACTCTCAAGCAGCCAGACTCCAGGAGCTAGTGGATTTTGTGCAAGCACAGGTAACTATCGCTTTCCGCAGTTCTAGCGAGGTTTTGTGAAGATGGCTCTGTTGAATGGACGGTGTTGCTTTTTGTTAGGACGAAGCCATTCATTATTTCGCATTGCAGGGTGGAAATCCCAGCTCGGAAACACTGGCGAGTCCAGCATTATCTGTTGAGGGCGTGCTGGATGGTTTCGACGCCAGATTGAAGAGGCTTGAGAGATGGCAAATCATAAACACGGTAGACTCTACGAGTTTCTATGCATGAAAGAGCTGAATTGTACTCTGCTGCGCAGGTTCTCTGGACATTTTTCGTGTCAGCGTTCATTGGCTACGTACTTTACCAACGATCGGCCAGGCGCCCAAGCAGATAAGATTCATTTTCTTCTTTGCTGAGGAGGTAAAAGAACGGAAACTCTGTAAGTTCTCGCATTTGGAACACGCAGCAACCAATGGCAGCATGTTTTCAAAACTTCACTGTTTAAGCTTAGTAGCGCTAGTGCCGCCCGAGGGATTCAAACACGTTACATCGAGCTCAGCACTGGAAGTCGTAGCAGCAAGGTAGCTGTTGTTTACATTGTTGCATTTACTTACTACTATAGATCAAGGAACACAGCGTTGATCAGGACTTTGTCCAGAAATTCCAGCGCAACGACAGAGATTTTTAGCAGCGATGAGGATGACCAAGGTGATTGGATCCTCCACCCGGCTTGGCTGCTCGGATGGGACGCCGAGACGTCGAGCGGAGTTCGTGCGCGGTCACAGCGATTCTTGGTGGACACGGCGAGTGGAAGCACTTGGAGGAGTGTAATGATGTTTGTGAGCATTGACTGGATCCAGCCACTGAGGACTTTTGAGGACTGTGCTACGAGCCGATTTGAATGCGTGAGATTATTCTCTAGTTTATTCTCTTTGAGCGGTTATGATCTGTCGCTTTGAATGGTTGGGATTTGTCTTGTCAAAGAAGAACCCTATGGCGGATCCACTGAGGGACTTGTGGGATTTGCCATTGAGCAAGGATGAGAAGCGCCAGCTCGCTGTGAAGCTGGGCATGCTGCAGCTGGAAGGGAAGAATCCCTCTGTGTTCTTCCTGGCTCCCACGCCGGAGGAGAAAGCGGACGTGCTCAGGAGCTTTCTCAAAGGTATTTTTACACTCGCGGGCCTCTGACGATCGGCATGCTCTCTCTCCAGAGTGTGCGCCTCGAATTGCCGATGAGGATTCCATGGATGTCACGTACAAGACTCTCGCCGAGTTTTGCAAACCAACGGTCCCCGAGCTCCAAGGCTTGAAAGAGTTTCTCCTCAAGAAGCCCGATGGTTGCATAATTCGCGTGAGTCCCAGGACATACAAGCGGGTCCGTGACTACGATTTGCAGGGCCTCTTTGAGCCTTCGAATGGAGATCGCTGCTTCGCGCTCGAGGAGCATCTCGCCGGCTGTGTACTCCAACCAGAAACAGGCCTGTCTACATACAGATTCTCTCTTTCACTGACAGGGTGTTCTTGTGCTCGTTCCAGGTGCTTCAAGGCTCTCGTTCGTTCATGCCTGGGACAACCTGATCAACAAGTCTTTGCGACTGTTCTTGAGCTTGAGCTTCACCAAGGACCGTAATACGAATACTGCAATTCCCTCGCTTGTTGGATATGTGGGTGATCGCTGGTCGCTCTGGACAGGCGAAGAGGGAGGGGCTGGCAGCAGTAGTCAGCTCTTTAACAAGCGGAAGTGGTACTACAAGACAATCCCTTACATTCTCGGCTACCACGCAAGCGGCCTCGCAGTGACGCTGGTTGCGCTTTATAATAGTCGTGGGGATGGTCGTGGAGAGGCCTCGAGCATGGCTTTGGCAAACTTCAACTTGCACGACCTTGATGAAAGGATCAGACTGTTCATGGTTATGCTCAACATCGCTCGCGTGCTGGGAGGTTTGCACGAGATTTGTGTGAAGAACAACGAGGGGAGCGAGTTTGAGCTTGTGAAAGCCATAACGACCGGGAAATCGGTGACGCTGGCCGGAGATCTGGTTGTTAAAGGCTACCAGACGGAGGAGAAGAGGATGAAAGTCTGGAAGGTATACTCCGCTCTCCGGGGCTGCCCAAACATGGAGAAGTGCTTGAGCGGGAAGCCAGCATACCAAAAGATCAAGCGGAGGGCGACCGGCGAGTACACGCTCAGGTTCTCTCCTCGCCTAAGCAGGACTGCTCGGGCGACAACGCAGGAATCACTCGTGAGAGCTCTCCTCGACGTCGCTGGAGCTCTGGCGTGGCTCCGGCGAAAGGGATGGATCCACAGGGACGTCCACTGGGGGAACGTGGCGTGGGACGAGGCAACCGGGGCGTGGACGCTGATCGACGCGGAGGAGGCGTGCACGGTTGAGCAGGCGGCACGAGCGGCGCATCCGTTGAACTCGCAGAGCCACGCGCCTGAGATGCTATCAGGTTGCCATGGTACTGCAGTCGACGTCTGGGGTTTGGGCTATCTCATCAGGACCGCCAGTGACGTGAGCGTTGCGAGTAAGCTCGTGGATGATACCCTCTGGGAGCTCTCGGAGAAGTGTATGGCCATGGATCCTGCGGAGAGACCGAGCATAGCCCAGTGCCAAAGCAAGCTCGAAAGTTGTCTGGAGAAGATATTGTCAGATGAGTGTATGAATGTGTATAAACGGGCAAGACTAGTGGAGAGTAGTAATTCATTGTTCAAAACACGTTGGGTGGCGCAGTAATTCATCGAGGAGACTTTAGTAAATGTAAACACGTAATAATGTAGATTAAACCACGTCAACAGGGTGGCGTGCAAACTCATTCATACTGTTTCTTGCCGGCTTCTTGGTCAAAGTAAACTTCAAGATGAACTTGCACAGGGGTCAAGGAGCACGCGTTAATTAACGAGAGGACGCTCCTCCGTATAAATTCCAAGCCTTGGGCTCCAAGCATAACGACCATCATATAAGTATCTACAATCAAGATGCAATCAAAATGATGATCCTGGTGGTGCTTGTCTCCAGCGCGCTCCGTGGCCTGGATGCTGGCACCGTCTTGTTCAGGGACGCCGAGCTGTCGAGCGGGTGTGGGACGATGACATGCCCAATCCCGGCGTGCGTGATTCTGGTGACCAAGGTCCACGGCTGCACGGGGGGCCAGACGGTCTCGGTGAACTGCGGAGAGTGGAGGCATTTCGAGGAGTTTAACAAAGTTTGCCAGGGAGGGGCGCTGAGCATCGACTGGGGAATCAAGCCTGAGGCTCCAATTCAGGAACAGCGCCGGGGACTTTGAAGAGTGTTTGCTCAAGAGTGGTTTCAATGGTGCCAAGTTTGGGTGTAACATGGGCTAAAACTTTGCCACGCTCATGGTATCCAAATGACAAATAATCTATGTATGAATCGTATATAGTTCATTTAGATTACTTGGAATCATGGTCAGGATCGCTAAGCGGTTCCTTCATCAAGATGAGGCCGACCGGCGAGTACACGCTCATCTTCTCTCCAGGCGACAATTCATGAATCACTCGTGATGCTCTCCTCACGTCGCTGGAGCTCTTGATCCTGGCGTGGGAGGCAGCCGGGGCGACGCGGAGGAGGAGCGTGCATGGGGGCGCGTGGCTCTGCGAGTTCAAGGGATGCGCTCCTGCTTGAGATGCTACCGGGTTGCCACGGTACTGCAATCTCATCAGGACCGCTAGTGACGTAAGTGTCGCGAGGAAGCTCGTAGATGATACCCCCTGGGAGCTCTCGGATGGATCTCGCGGAGAGACCGAGCAGAGCCCAGTGCCATAGCCTCGAAAGTTGTCTGGAGACGATATTATCAAATGTATGCTTAGCTGGGGTAACTTAATTCGTGATTTTAAACCATGAAACCAGCAGTAATTCATTGATGTCGATTAAACCCATGCAATTACCGTATATTCATGCACCCAATTCCCATATATGCAACCATGAGCTAGATTAAAGCCCATGCTGTCGTAAGAATTTATAGAAATGCAAAAAAGTAGTAATCTAGATTTCAGAAACTGTTTCTATAAGGCGGTTGCCGGAGTCAAAGTAAACTTTCAAGCATGAACTTGCACAGGGGTCAAAGGAACACGCGTTAAGTAATGCTTCAGATGTCGATCAAAATACTGATCCTGGTGTTGCTCGTGTCTACCGAGCTATCCAGCGGGTGTGGGAGAATGACGTGCCCGATCCCGGCGTGCGTGATTTTGGTGAACAAGGCCCACGGCCTGTCGGTGAACTGTGGCGATTCCAGGAGTTTAGCAGGGCGGAGGGCTGGAGCATATAATGATCTTTAACACAGTCATTTGAATCCCTGATAAAGAATATTCTCTTCTTATGTAAATCTTTGTGATTGGTTACGATTCATTCTTCCCAGAAAACGTGTATGATGTTCTGTTCATTTCAGATTACTTGGAATTCACAATACGTTACTTTGGCCTGACAACGAACAAAAACTAAACAACTTGCTCTCGCATAAAATTTAAAACCCGGGATACGATAGCATGGAATTCAGCGCAGATGAATGATAGCCTTGCGCCAAGATTTCTTCGGCAGCGATCCACCCAGTTGAATCTGCCAATGTAACTGTGGATGCTTTGACACGGCAACTCGACATAGTGATTAGGTGTAGACTAACTACATTAAAGACCATGCAGCCATGAATTTCTAACCACGTAGTAATCTAGATTTAAAACGCAGTAATTTCTCATGCAACCACGTTGCAAACTATTCCCCGAGTGAAAGTAGAATTCAAAGTCAAGCATTCATATCCGCGAACTTGCGCAGAGGCCAAGGAGCACACGCGTGTTATGTAACGTTAGGATGCTCCTGCGTATAAGTTCCAAGCCTTGGCTCCAACCGAGAAGCATAACGAGCATCATATATCAAGATGTGCGGGATGTCGATCAAAATGGTGATCCTGGTGGTGCTCGTCGCCATCGGGCTGCGCGGGCTGGATGCTGGCACCGTCTTGTTCAGGGACGCCGAGCTGTCGAGCGGGTGTGGGAGGATGACGTGCCCGATCCCGGCGTGCGTGATTCGGGTGGACAGCGTCCACGGCTGCACGGGAGGGCAGACGGTCTCAGTGAACTGCGGCCAGTGGAGGCACTTCCAGGAGTTCAACGATGTTTGCCAGGGCGGGGCGCTGAGCATCGACTGGGGGATCGAGCCGCTCAGGCTCCAGTTCAGGAACAACGCCGGGGACTTTGAGGAGTGCTTGCTCCAGCAAGATTTCAATGGCGCCGAGTATGGATGTAACATGGGCTAGGACTTTATAGTCACTAGAACCAAAGACTATACAGCTTGTACGGTATGATATCTCTGCTTGTTCTTTGTCTAATATCATACAATCACAAATATTAATCTAATAATCTTAGATTGATTACATGACCATCATGGTGTGAGGAATTCACAAAAATGTTTGCGTCTGATACTTTGGTTTTTGCTAGAGGATCGATTGGAGCTTCCAGATTAGTGCGCAATGTGATCGATTGCATTGATAGGCAAAATCTGGTGTCCAGTATAAATGTACAAGGAGAGACGAGGAGGTCTCCCTTCGTCTTATACTTTATAATGCGCTCTCCAGGAGCTCCATCTCGGGCGTTTTGTATCTGCAAACCTTTCACGCGTGAGATTATCTATCATCGCGCTGTCTAAGCGTACCTTTTCCTGGCGGAAGATTCACTTTCCAAGCTCTACGCAAGCACAAAGAAGACTCAAAGAGTGAGATATTGCATGGATAGAATTACCTCTGGAAGTAAGTCCTTGCGGGTGATTACACCGAGTATCCTAGAAGGCCGGGGTACAACGCAGACGTGACGAAGTCCCAGCTGTCGAAACAGGTTGTAGACCTGGAAAGCAAAGAGTGTGAGGATTCACGGCGGTGTGTAGTGTCGAGAATTTACCTTCGTGAGGGACATGTCCTCGGAAACTATGTAAGGCGAGGGATTTACAAACGGTTGTAAATCCAAATACATCTCCATTTCTACCGCTGTGAGATTGACGTCGAATATTGACAGACCCTTGCTAGACACGGGCTTTACAAAATCTGTGACGCTATACCTGCCAGTATCAAGAAAAACTTTAGTGGAAGGTATGCTGAAAGAATGCTTACTTGTTTTTGGTACGATTTTCATGTCCGGGAGTCGGACCGTGTTGAAAATCTGCTTTAGTTTGCAACACCACCAACAAATGGCTGCAAACGAGCATTATAGCCACGCAAAAGTATCTACATGCAACTTACCTCCGCAGTACGAGGCCAATAACTGCCGTTTCCCCGTTTTGAAGTTGCTCTATCACCTGCAAATGAAAATCAGCAACGCACTGGTCGATTCGTAATATTACATACCGGAAATCCATTGTGACTGACGCTACGTAAAACTGAAACGATAGATCCCACTTTTGAAACTCGAGGGAAACTGACGACCTGCAAGACGACTTTAAAGACAAGAGCTAAGACAGTTCAGATTTACCTTGCTAGTGTGAAGGGCATCCTTGGCAGACAGTTTTCTCAGAAATCGTTTGGGACGAGATTCAAGCAGGGGTATTTGTCGTAGATACGCTTGTTGCTCATAAAATCCCATATTAAAGGCATCTCCAACAGCCTGTAGAATGAGATACTTTAAGTTTCCATTTAGAAATGTATGTCCTTTTACCTTTGATATAAGAAGCACAAGCATTATCAATGGCAGGAGCTGCAGGTTGTTTGTGATCTCTACCATGATCACACACAACGATACAGTCATCCGCATGGAACCACCAAGAAAAGAAGCTGCTCCCAACAAAGCATATCTGCATGGAAAACGAAAGCAGAAAGGATATGAGTGGAAAAAACTAAATAGCTCACGTTCCCTCGTCAATTCCGTCTTTCTTATACAGATTGACCACAAGCATCCCCACAAGGCGTCCATAAGTGGCTCCTATCATTATTCCGGGAACGAATTGGCCGGCAGGAACAGCTGTTCCGTAAGTTATAGTAGCAAGAAAGAAGAACAAAGCCTAAAATGCAAGGAGTTAGCATTCTTTCCGTGCCACTAAAGAGACTCTTACCAGGAACGTAAGTAAACTACGCGCACTGTACTCGTGAACAGTCTTCGTACTAAACAGGTTGCGAATGGCATCGTCCTAAAATTAATCCTCAATAAGAGCAGACAATATAAGGAAAAGAATAATAGAAAGGAAAACTTACGGGAGTATTGAAAAAAATCGTTGCAAGATCATTGTATTGGGAATCTTTAGGACAGTTAAACTAGAAAGAAAAGGGATTAGACTTGAAACAGAACGGGCTTGGAACTTACAAGAACATAATTTCCATAATGTTGCTGAGGTCGAGGGCAAACAATGTCTGGATATTTAACAGGATCGGGGCATGGAGTGCACTTGTTCAGCAGAGGTATACCAAAGGACAGCATAGACGTAATCAAAGACACCAAGCAGACCTCAATAATCTGCACAAAAGTTTATTCATGTAAGATTATCTCAAATGTTGTCAGTACCTTCACACGGTTTCCTCTCTTGTGTAGCACATTCCGACGATACGAAGAAAGCATATAAGTTAGTTGATTGAAGAGTGCGCCTGTAAGGGAACGTCATAAGCTACACGGAGGAGATCTTTCTTACCTAGCAATCCTCCTATAACGCCAAGTAGTGCCATTGGCCAGAGTTCGTAAAATGAGTAATCTTCTTGACCACTACGGACTAGTGTGAGCTTTGATCTGGAAAAGTAAAAAGCAGCT